CATCGCACGCTGCTTGCAGCAACTAAAGCCCTGGATAATATAGATATTGTCTCTTCTGTACAATTTTTTCGGCTGAAGTTGGTTTGCTTTGGCGTTCAGGATTCTCTGAACGTGGTTTGCTAGATATTACATAGACGCCTCTCCTTTATAACATTCTGCTTCAGCATTTTGCGGCTTTTTCATTTCGCTTTACATTTGGCAACCGTTTCTCGTTGAAAACTTCTTTTATCCTTTTGAATTATTAGTGTCTGTCATAGCCGTTTATTGAATAAATTCTACAGCTATTTTTAGGGTTGTGTCTGAGTTAATTCTATAGAGCTATCACGCAAAGAACAAGCGTCATTAAATAAAATCCATAAAATGTTCAATTCCTACTAAAATTAAAAAAAAACACGAAGCCCATCTGTTGTTTAAATGTCCCACTTTCAATGGTGTGATTCGTCCTACCGATTAGAAAAATCGGGGTTGCAGTTTGCACCTTTGCCCGCTGATCGTCGTTTATACTTTCTTAACAACACATTCTCTCTAATTATGCACACATCAGAAAATGAGACTGAAAACGGCTCTGCGCGATCATTTTGGGAGCCGAAGCAGTATGCGCGTACAGTGAAAAGATTGGAAACGGCCAACAAGCTCTGTTCCGAGTACGCACTTATGATTCAGGAGCGTTCAGACATCGAAAAAGCATACGCTTCTAATTTGCGAAAATGGTCTCAGAAGTGGAACACTTTTCGGGAAAGTGGACTGGAATACGGGACAGGAGCCAACGTATTTTCAGGCCTATGCACCGAAGCCGAGCAGCGTGCAGATCTGCATTCGGTATGCTTTATAGTATAAACTTCAAATATTAGGGAATCAATATCTCAGAATGCCAATTTCCTAGCCACTTCACTTATTTTAAAAGCCTATTAAAATTGCACAGATTAAGGTGAACTACATGCATTATAATAAGAAATGTCACTGTTTGACTTCAACTTCGAGATCTTTCTTGGATAGGACCCCTCATCTGCTACAATCATTTGTGCTTTTTAATTACTCTTGCCGAGCCGTTTGTACCCTTGCGAATTGTATTTTTTTGGCAGCTTCAGATACTTCCTTGCAAACAATCGTCTTCTAATAACCGTGTACCGCGGTGCAATGCGTTCATTTGCCGTTGAATTTGAGTATTGGCCATTGTAAACATTTAAGCTTAGACATTTCATACTGATATTTTGCACCATTTGTTTACTAGTTTAGCCTACAATCGAAAATGAGGGTTTTACAAAAGCTTCGGTGCAGTGGCCAGAAGATTGTTAAGTAGTATCAAATCGGTTGATAGTACATACTAACAAATCACAGCTCCTTCGCATTGGATTCGGTCGTAGAAAACAGCACTGAATGCCAAAACTTTTTAGCACCATAGTCTGTAGAGTATTTTACATGATTTGTTGTTTTCCTACCTGTCCAAGTTTTGTCGTCAAGTGTCGGTATCCTGTAGACTGGCTCATTTGTGGACTGTTGTTTTTTTTACCGACAACTCATATGAATATTTCATGACCTGTGGCTCTTTTTACCGTCTTCAGACCGTCGCAAATAGTTTAACAGAATCCGTGCAATCAGCCGTAAAGTCCTGGCAGAAGTCGAAATTCCACAAAACATCGATTTCCTCAACGATTAAGGAGGTCAGGTCTTTGGAGTCCGAATTCGAAGCCGCCCAGAAGGTTTGGTACAAGCGCTTCAAGGCAGTACATCGCGCACAAAAGGAATACTATCATGCATGCAAAACCGTCGGTTCACTACAAGTTCAGGTGCAAAACGCCAAGAACGACCCCAATGGCACCGCCGAACAGGTACACTAAGCAGTCTGTAGCTACGTTCTATAAACCAATGTCCAGTATTTTTATCGGTTCACAACTCAGCATAAAGTGACTTTTCTGGAAATTGTCACTTTTCACACACATACGTTCTTTGTATAAATTAAACAGCGGAATTGTTGTTATAGCAATCACATCAGGGCGATAAGGTAAGTGGCTCATCTCAGCAGCTTCTACTGTGATTACTGTTTTACGTATGCAATCCCGACAGCTATATTTGACCGCTAGCCCTTTGCAACACGCTATTTTGCTTGCGTTTTGATCCATTTCTCGTAATCCTTTCAGGCTTATTTTTAAGAGAAGCCATTTAAGTGATTTCCACCCATTTTTTGCCATGTCCACAAAACTTTAACATGTCACTTATCATCTAAATTATTTTCCGCACAACAGTGCACTTATAATGAGTTTTTTAAAGGCGAGGAGAGTCATTCATCACAGGCTCTCATGTTTTTCTTTTATAACGGTGTAGACAGGTGTGCGATCCACAGAGCGATAAATACATCAAAGTTACTCTTAAGGTCTAAACGACTAAGTGGTCTTTTGGTCGGATAACTTATAGTTGTCAGACCTTTGAGTGGTTATTCCGTATTAACTACCCACATCAGCCAGCGTATCTGAAATGTATCTTTACTGCTATCGAACAAAATCCCTACACGACAGAGAATACCGGATGCGAAGGTTTTATTTAGACCTCTAAAGTGATAGTTTTCCGGCCTGCTGTATCGAACAATTCATTTTTTGATTTTCAGTTGCGAAAAATTGAAGAAAAACTATCAAAAGCCGAGCACGACAAGGTTAAAACCAAGGACGCTTACAACTATGCTCTGGGCAACCTAACCGACGAAAATATGCACTACATTGATGAGATGACCAAAGTAAGTTTTCCTTTGCTGCAGCATTTATTACGTGAAAAGTAATCTGCATTGACTCTAGGACATTATCTATGTTGATTCACATTCAATCGCGCTTTCTTAGGCAGTTGAAACTGAAACACACGGAGCATTCTGTTTTTCAAGAAAGCTGAAGTAATTCTCTGCCTACTTACCGGTTGTCGGAAGACTTCTTCAATCTTCCTATATTTTGTTGTCTAAGATGTGAAATTGTGGGCCTGTGTTATTTTCGTTCTCGTGCGCTTTCTGTTCATTTAATAGAGTCCCGATATAGTCGTCCATTCGGGGTTCCATTTCGATCACACAAAATACTCGGACGGAATAGAAAGTAGTTTTCGGGAAAATGAACTTCATTCAAGCCTTTCAGATTCACACTCAGATCTACCATCAGAGGCATTACCGGCTCGGTTTTGAGTCATTTAGCAGCTTTGCAAGCCACGACTGTCGGCTTATCTTGATAGTTGCAAACTACATTTTTTTCTCTCGCGGAAAGTCTTCTTTCTCTTACCCACTTGTCTGTCCGCGTCAAGCCAGCCAATGCTTTGATTGTGTGCGATGAGAAATCTTGCGTGTCATAGGTAGACTCAAATTTAAGGCGTGAAAGGCGCCATAAAGGGCTTACTAAAGCTGACCTTTTTATTTATAATCTCGTCCTAGAGGCGTTACTGAGCTGGTCTGTCAACTCGCAACATTCCACTTTGCCACTGTTCTAGTTTCGTCACTTTCATTTTAGAGGGGGACGTACTGAATTATTCCAAAGAGAGGGTACTTGGGTACCGACTTCGCTCATTTTTCCCGCCCAAGCATCAATAGCGTGTTCCGGTCCTTCAGATGACTGGCAATTTGGTTGGGTGCTCTGGCTAGCCCGGCGTGATCCTCGTCCAGCGCCTGCCGATTACTTGTAGTGGGAGTTTAGGACTTAGGAGGGCTTGACGCAGTCTGAATGCGGCTTTCCCTGAGTAAGTGTAGGCCCATTTTATCTGACAGAGTAAAAGCGCAATTGGTAGTGATGCTCCTTGCCCCGTGCCTGTAAGCTGCCGTTAGTAAACAATAACGAGGTTTTTTGGTACACTTTTTAGGCTAGACATCAGTTACGTCCATCTGGGTTCATAGCGAACCTTTATTGGCTTTTGCTAGAGGCGTCACGTAATTAAGGGAGCGTGACAGATCTTTAAGTACGTTTTAGACTTAAACGCCTTGTGAGGAATGCCTCTTTTTTGGTTGAAGAGATCCAGTTTTACACGAGTGGTGGGTAGATGTACTAATAGGTAGTTTAGTTACTGTCGCTTTTTATAACTTCGCCCGTAAACTAATTCTTCATAACATGAGGAGATGCTTGCCATTTCATAATTAAGTCAACATTGATAATCTTTCAAGATTCACCGTGCATCCGATCATTGAAACTGTCGGCGTTTTAGTCATTGGTGACGCCGTATGACGCTTCCTATAAATCATCTTGTCGTGGACATGGTTTTCTCTACTCGATACTTTCTTGCGATGCGATAGAGACCTAAACGTAGGGCAGCTTGGCCTTGAAATTCAGCTTCAATGTCCTCTTGACACCAGTACTAATTAAGACTACATTTCCTTTTGTTTCCGTAAGCTGTACTAGCTTACTAGTTGGATCACCCCGTGTTCCGTCGCCGGTCCCACATATAACCATGGCAACCCCAGAACTTGAAACTCAGTTTATTTCACCGCACACGTTTATGCTGCACCTAAGTAAATTACTCATGTTTCTGACTGTATATTTGTGCAGATAGCATTGCCAGCAGAGATAAAGGAGACTGGAATGGCCATTTCTGGCTAATTAGCCGTCGTCAGCCAGTCATACCCAACCCCAAGTACTGCACCATCCGAGGCTCGAACTCCCCGACCTCGCCGTCTTGCCGGTTTAGATCGGGAGATATTGACACTTGTTCACGAAAGTTCACCGATCGCTAATGCAACTCACTCTTCCCGCCCTACCTTGGGGCTCATTCTCGAATCGGTAAGACAACGAGCTCATGGCTCAGTAATTAGAGCGTTAGACTCCTGATCAAGTCGCGAGTTGAGCCTCGGGTGATGCTCCACTTAGGGCCGGATATGACTGGCTGAAGACGGCTAATGAGGCAGAAATGACCGTTTCAGTCTCCCTTGTTTTTTTTTGCTGGAAGTGCTCTCTGCGTAAACTACTAGCCACTTTGCGCCTGCTGGTGGGGCTGAGTGGGTCGGTGAACGTTCATCAACGAGTGCATATTTATGGTGGGCTGTTTAGTACTGTGAACACGTGTGTCAGCTTTTATGGCAGCTTTCCTGTTAACTGTCAATAAGTGTTCGATCCCAAACACCCTTAAGCGAGGGAAGGTAATCACAAAAAGTCGTTCGCGGAGGCTGTAGGCATAAGTCTTTCATTTAAGGTCCTCCTGTCTTATTTTTGCGGGACGTGGCCTCTGCAACCTGCTGGCCCGGAATGGCCTTAAGAACTGGTTCCTTTGGTGACTACTACGACTCCCGTTTGCAAGAAGGATGCTTTCTTTTAGCGACTCAATGACAAGTCGCCGCCTTGGACAATTGGATCATCCCCTATGGCGTCACCCTTCATTTGTGCTTAAATCCTGGGTCGCCGTAGCGTCTAACCGAAGGAGGATTACGCACTGGTTTGTAAATTTTAACCAAATGAGGGTTGTAGGTGCAGTCTTTGACTGTTCAGGTCTGAAATGTGAATCATACACTGGCTACCGCGAGTTTCCATTGTAGCGCACTGCCCCACAATACTGTTGACACTGGAACTGCTTGAAACATTTCTGGTTTTGTACCTGCGCAAGCACACACACACAAGACGGCTGAATAATCCGCACACACCCGTGCTTAAAACACACACACACACACAAGTTACCTGTGCGCCCACTGTGTCTCCTTACTAACTGGAGTGACTGGTGTATTTCGGCACTACCCACTGTTAGCGTTCGCAAGTACTTCAACTGATTATCACTTCCTTCGCCTTGGCTGCGTCGCTCAACGTGCTGTACGCAAGCGCACTTGAACTGTGATCACACTTTGTCAACAAGCCGCGCGTGGTTGTCTGGCAGTGGTCCTAGCCACCGCTACCACCACTCCCTGCCCTCTTCCCCGTCGTTGGCGTCTTTTTTCTTCCTACCTCCACCATCTATCGTTCTTGTCTACGTACCGGGTACTGGTCAAAGGATACTATGACTGCATGCTCGTATTTCTGTCCATGTTTGCGCAAAGTCACTAGCCGTTGTTGCTGCTGTTCATCCCCCATGGCAAGTAGGCTTAGCGAGTCTAGTAATTCATAGCGTTCATCGCTGTATTTTTTTTTACTCGGAGATTGCCTCTTAGCAGCGAGACCTGCTACTATCTGTCCTGTTGACGTGAACACAACCGTTTATTGACTTTGAATGTAATTTGTTCGCGTGATCGAATGGAGGAGACTTCCCAGCGGAAACGGCACCCCAGTGGGTCTGGCGCTGACATATGTAGTTCGAATAGACGTTTAGAATAGCCATACACGAACAAGGTCTGTGCTTAATAATGCAGTGATCAGTAAACTTAATTGTAGTAATCTAATTTCCGAACAGATTTTATTGCTTGTTTTCCCAAGCATATTACAGAACTATGGAGAAACATTGCGAAAGCCTTCTTGCTGCGTCAAGTCGGAGGGAAATTCTTACAGATATTTTTTATTTTGAAAGTTTGGGAAGGGTTGCTTTCGATGGTGTGTTTATGACCCGGAAGACTTCTAGGTAGTCTTTAGTTTTGTCCATAGGGATTTGGGGTATCTCATAACCTTATTTTAAACGTGCCTCTTTCTCACGTTCGCCAGAGCCGCAGTCTTCTTCATGCTCACTCCTCATTCGTCTGGATGTGCACAGAACGACGCTCGACCGTGTAATTAAATCCTCACTGATGGGGATGATTGTGTTCCCCTAAGCCAGCACTATATCCATTATTTAGGTTAGTTCTCTGGCCACAGTGGACGAATTTCCGCCACTGACATCTGAGTATCCTTTGATTTCTTTGTGCGCGGTTCCACATTGAAGTTGGCAGATTATCGCCTGCCTGACAAGTCAGTCTTTAAAAGAAAAGTCAGTCCCCCAGTGGGTTTCATCCATTTTAAACATTTATTTGTGAAGGTACCTCGTGGCAAATAGCGCACAGCCAGCCAGTGTTTGGCGTGGGACGAAATGGAGCTGCCACCTCTTCAGTTCCGTGAGCAATCTCAATCACACCGACCGGCTGTGCTATTTAATCCCAAGGCTCCCTCCTTTAGAGTGCAGGACATCTGTTTCCCAGCCGGAGGGGCGTTCTTCCGCTATTTTAAGAGGAAACTATGGATGTCTTTTTGCTATCTCTACCACACAATAGGCCGCTTTATCTGTTTCCGAGCTGTTGAAAGTGGGACCAACAGGAAATCCGCTACACAACACAGCAAGAACCCGGAAGATCATGCGTGAAGTTTTTAGGTTGTCAGCTGCGTTAGTCTTTTCAGTGAAGCAGCCCAACACCTGCTACATTTCTGCTGTGGTTCTGCCTGTCGCGTACCTGTTTGGAAGTTTATAGGCCCTCCATCCAGGCAACTAAGAAGCCTTCAAAAACAGCCTCTGCAATTCCAAAAAAATATACTACCATGCTCAGGGATTGAGACAGGCTTGAACATGCTCGCTTTTTTGCATTTTAGGTTTTTGACAAGTCACAGGCGTTGGAAAAGGATCGTTTGGAATTCTTCAAGTCCCAGGCACTTGAAATACACAAATGTCTCGATCTTTCCAAAGCTGTCCAGTAAGTCGTCTATCTCTGTTGTGAACATTATTTTTGATTAGCGCAATGCTACCTAAACCCCTGCTTATTGATGCAACACCCTACTTCTCGCATTGTGCACCATTTATAATCTTTGCCCATACTACTAATACTACTACTACTACTACTACCACCACCACCGACCGTTTGACCGTCGTTTTCGACACTGTCCACCACGAGCGTCAGCAGGTTGAGGGCAAACATGGTGACTATAGCTGGATTATAGTGAAAGTAGACTCGTAGGATCGACCCCACTCTCTCACCACTCCCACATCTGCACCCGATGTCAAGACAAGGATCGAGAAGACCGGAGATGAGCGAAGGCGCAGGCGGCTGGTGCGGCCAACGCTCCAATACGCGCCACAACAAAAGCACTTTGCTACGTAGGCTCCCGCGTACACGAGAGCGCCATAAAGGCCACATTAAGAAGTAGCCTGACTCAATACAGGCGTATCGTCTGGCAAAATATCGACGATACATGTGTCTGAAATGTTGGCTAGTACCTGGTAAATCATGCAGCATATTGAAGATCAGATCACTTTATCAGCGTATTAGCTGGGGGTAAAATGCTCCTCCTACGTCGAGACAGGAGGACTGAGTACTAAGTACCACGATGGCGATCGTTGTAAAAGGAAAAAAAAAAAACAGTGATTGGACAAATAGTCTAACAGAGCACAGAGTGCGGCAGTGTACAATCTCTCGTCCAAACTGCTGGCTGCTGACCCGCTGCGAATAATTTTAAGGGGAAACCTGTTTCAACACTTGGAAAAACATCCAGTGGATTTCTTCACCACCACAACACCCACTGTGAATACCTCTCCAAGGTCTCTCAGAACTCAATTCTGGGTTGAGCCACACTGAAACATCTCAACAGCTGAAATGAAGACAATAATTGAATCACAGGAAGTAGACGAGGCATTCGAGAGCAAGCTTCTTCTTTTTTCGGGGAAGCCAGTGGGGGTCGGTGTGTCCATTTCTTTAAAAAAAAATAAATACCTAATCTGCAGCGACAGAAGGACAGGTGGCGAGGCACTGATGAACTTTTGCTCTATGAATTGCTTGTAACTCACGTGCTAGACCCAATTTGTGGACTATCTGCGTTGTAATACTGTACGTTCCTTGCCAGGGGCGGCGAACTTGGGCAGCAGCAGCCCCGGGGGATGGTCGCGTTCTGTACAGTAACACACAGAATCGCCAAGATGATATTTCGGCCCCTCTCTGTGTCGATCTTAACAAGTCTTTTAGTGCTGTTGTGCCGTTTGAATGTTATCGGCAGATGGCCTGTAGGCCGTGACGAGTCTGCCTTGGAGGCCTCGGATGTATTCCCCCCCCCCCGGACTGGTGGCCTTTGCGGGAATAAGCGGAGCCTGAATACCTGTCGACAATCGAATATCACGGGCAAGCTGTAGCAGTGCGGGACAGAGTCCGGTCGAGTTTGAACTGCTGTTCGGTATGCCAACAGACCATGTGGCAAGTGTTTGTCTCACATATGGGAGGACTCGCGATCAGCGAATGCAGACAGTATTCGCTCGATCGTTCTGTCCATATGTTCGACTAGTCCGTTACATTGTGGGTGCTAGGGGGTAGTCCCTGTTTTCTTGAGCTGTAGCAAAGAACATAGTTCGGTCAGGAGGTAGTTCTCTAATGCCGAACTTTGATCGCAGGCGCACCGTAACGGCTAACCTATTCGATGGATTTCGCGTCCTGCTGTTGGAGAGGTACGGCCAACCACACAACTTGGCCAAGTAGTCGATCATTACCAGCATGACTAGGTTACCATGACGAGAAATTGAAAGCGGCCCCGAGCCGGTGATTAGGTCCGTCTACGGCCACAGGATGTAGCACAGGTCGTGGTGCGCGAATCGGTGACTTTATCTGAGCGCACACTACAGGCAGGCACTACAGTAAGGCATCACGCGCCGATGGATAGTCGGACACCAACAGTGCCTGCGAATGTCGGCTTCTGTCTTGCATTGGCCCTCGTGTCCGAGGTAATTATGAACGTCGCTTATGGTGTCTTGTTTCTTCGCCCTCGGCATATCGGTTCGTGGTGGTTCATTAGTGTGGCTAATTATGAACAAAACACCAGTATCTATTCGTAGGCTGGTCCAGTTATTCCACAGTGCTCGCGCGG